TGACAACAGGTCCTTAAAAATGTTTAATTGTAAACCTTTCACCATCAAAGTTGAGTGAAAACCTAAACTTCGTTCGATTTCTTGATGATAGTTGTGGCCAACCGATAAACAAAATATATTTGACCGGGTTGTATGCCCTATTTCAGGGAGAGAATATGCATTATTGGAAGTATACCTACAAGATAAATACAAGAAGAAGCCATATATTACTTGAAATGATAGTACACATTTGCAGTGTATGGCGCAAACCATATTGGTCTTACCATGGAAAACAATGACGTTTTCGCCTAAAATATAGTTATTCTCAAACATGGGTGTTGTTGTTATGTATTTTCTCTATCAAACCAGCCATAATTAATGTGAGCGAGGAATATGAGTGGAAAGAGTACATTTCAGCTTTATTAAAGGCCTAGAGGTTTGAGATAGAATAGAGTATAATAGTAATTGGATAAAAGGATTGTCGTGAAGAATATAAGTGACATTTCAGAGAGAAGTGGCTTGAAAGATTAGAACCTGTTGAATTTGCTGACCTGTAAGGTGTCTGGCGAGTTTGTGCATGACCCATGGTGTGGCATCTTGACAAGAAGCTGAGCACGCTCGTAGGTGGTAGAAGCAAAAGCAATTTTTTATAATTTAGATATGTGAAGTCACTATTGTTATTTTTATTATTTTGAAGTTAATTTTCTTTATACTGAGGACCTAAACTCGTGTTTAATTCTCGAGTTGTCAAAAAATTGCATGTTGCTGTCCTACAGATCGGGGCGGTTCACATTTGTGACTAATACCATATATGCTGATCAGCATGCACCAACCTCCCTCCTTTTTTGATATTAAGCTCTGAAACCTTTTCCAACGACTGTAGTTGTGACACTGCATTGCTTTTACCCAGTCTCAATCATACACTATGCTGCACATTACCAGCTTTAATGACAGGTGCTTCCCATTAGGTCACCGGATACATCAGTACCCGAGGACATTCTTAGCAGTGTTATCATCATACATTGACTAAGTGGGTCACTACAAAAGACTAGGAAACTAAATTTCCCCTAGGAATTATGAAGTATATAAATAGCTAGTATCGCAGCAAATAAGTTATATTCTATTTATCAGAGTGATATGAGTAGTGGAACAATTAGTGACAAAGCTATGTAGAGTAGTCCTGAGAAAAACGACTAGTTAGTAGAACCTGTTATGCTAACTTTTCGTGACCGATTTTTACATGGTGTGCGTTATACATTGCAAAGTGACTCATCGGCTTATATAATGGAAAAAATACTACATAGCTTCAACATTATGAAATTTCGAAAATTATATGAAGATGGGTAACTATTGACTGAAGGTAGTCATTTCAACACAAAAGAGTGCAGTGTATTATGCTAGTAATATAAGTATATACATATATAATATTAAAAGATATGGTTGCTGACATAACTGCTTCTTGAAATTATTATACTGACCTAATTTACTGATGATTAAAGTGTGGAGAAGATCGGTGAGTTGGTTAAACGGTTACTGCAGAGGTAATAAGATTCGATACCGTTCATAGCAATGTTATATGGGAGAAGTGACGTCAAACTTTGTTTTTTCCCAGGTAGTATTGACCCATCCGAATAGTGCTTGGGAATTTGTTGATGCAAAGACAATTCGGCTATATTCTTAGATGTGATGCATTGAATGACTAGTTAGGAGAATTTTCCCCTAACTGCGGTCAAATAGTAGAGCAGCCACGCAAATTTACTATGAACCGAACTCATGTAATTTAAATAATAACTTTTCCATGCATGTACGACTGGTATGTTCCTGCAGAGGCAGGAATAAATATATTATTATCAATGACTGTGAAACCGTGGGCCTCTATGCACTCCTCAAATTGTGGTTGTGTATGTGGTGTTTTATGAGCCAATATTTTTCAGTTTTACTGCCTAATATTCCATCCCTCGCGAATTGACTATGAAAAGTAGCGGCAATAATGAGCACTAATTAACGAATCCCGTTTTGGGATATCTTTTCAGGTAATTAGTGCGCATCAATCCAGTACCTATCTAATTGAAACTTTTCCTAAGATAATGTTAAGAAGACGTTTCCTCAGCTGGAAGGAAGTTGGGAATGCGGTGGAAAAACTTCTGAAAGTGGAAAGCTTACAAATTCCTAACAGTATATCTCTTGCACTCATTACGTTCACAACCTGAGCGAAAAATGACGGATGAGAGATTTAAATGCATGTGTTGCTTTTCAGTGCAAGTTCGGAGTCTGAAGCGTGAAACGACGCCTAAAACTGAGGAATAGGTCGTAAGAAGTTTTGGATTGGGGAACGACTCGTCGTATATGTATTTGACAAGCCTGTTTAGAGTGTGTCAACATAACCACACGTGAAACCAAGAAATCCTCTCAAAACGCATATGCGTTTGGTGGTTTTCGGCATACTCTGTGTCAATGAAGTTGAAGGTTGAACGATCAATTCTTGGTTGTTTGCTCATAACCAACTTCCCCAATTTTCGCGGAGGCATCAATACGACAGTCATCGTCTCATCGGTCGCTGTTCAGAAAGAAGTCAGCAGTAAACCGTCAGAAGTAATATTGTGATTTATTACTGTAATATTTCTTCACAGACCTTAGTTCAATTATTATTTTTATATGTTGGTGTAACAATAAAGAATTCTCGAGTGGCCAAACGGTGTTTTGGTTTTTTCGTCCGTTATTACTAAGCGTTTCGGAAAAACTGCAAGGAACAGCGTGGGCCCGAGCGTAGCAAGAGCTGGGCATTAACGGTTTATGAGACGTGGCTGACTTTCTGCCTTATATAAACTCAGATTCCGAAACCCCCAAAGTTCTGCGACTGAAGCACCTTCCCCCACAATATTCTCCTGGTCATAAAAAACACGAAGACGTGTGCCGGTATGCCGAATAGCAGATTAGTAGGTAGACCTTATGATGCTATGCCTTTTAATCCACAACCCAGCCCCGAACACTACTACCCGTACATCCGAGAACACACAGTAAACGTTTCAAGTTTCCTGAATCACTGGTACGACCTGTAGCACCTAGTAACACATCGTCTCACCCTAGCTCCGATGTATGGACACCCAGTCCGACCCCCTTATCATCCGTAAACTCTTCCGGTGATGACGCGCGAATAGAATTAGGTTATGGCGATATTTTAAACCAGTTTGTAACCCATGCGCAGTGGTACTAATCAATGCGCTTTCTCTGGTCAATAAGATGTTTGAACTATGAACATTAATATTAAACGCCAAGCCTACTGTAGTTCTGATAACTGAATCATGCTGCTCATCCACTATGCTTGATATGCATTTATGTGTAGATAATTACACTGTATACTGTGCAAATAGAGATTGAAAACATAGTGGAGGATGCTCATACGTATACATAACTCATCTGTACTCAGTAAGGTGGAAGATGAAATCCTGAATGAGGTACCTGATTCACTCCAGATCGTCCTACGCCGAGGTAAGTACAAACTTCTCATAGGCTGTGTTTATCGAGCATCATGCTCAATCAGATAAACTGATGCGTCGTTAGCTAGGTCATCTGAACAAGCCTCCTCGTTTAGTACTATTTACAAAATAATTTCACGGGACTTGAATCATCCGGACATCCATTGGTCAAGTATTCCTGGCCCCAATGCTTCGGCGAATTACTTGCCAGATTTTCCAGTAGACACCAGAACCACCCAGTAGCATGATATAACATAGTTACAGCATACAGACTGTTGATTGGTGCACGAACTCATTCGACTCTATAAATTTGATGTCAGCTTCACCACTGACTCCCTGGAGGCGGTAGTGTCCCCAATTTACAGGATTGTCAACCTTTGTCTGGATACTGTTGCTCCTAATAAAGTAGCGAAATTGAGTAGGCACTAGGCTGAATAAATCTCAAGGGTATGCCGCAATTAGCTAAGGATGTCTATGAAACAGCGCTATTCTGCTAAATATATATCACCACTTTACTCAATCCACGAGTCTCTAGAACCTATCAAGCACCTACGCTCTCAAAATGACCTCGACGAAGAGCTTAGGGTACTTAAAAGTACCCCTGCACACTTAGCTACCACCGACCAAGGAGAGGCTTGACTATTGACTAAAAGATATAAAAGGACAAGAATCACCCAAAAACATTTGCTCTGCAACTGATCAGGTATAGGCTTCCTCGTGGAAGTCCCAGCAGTATACTCAACAGAGGACGCTCCCAGTTACTTCTACTGAGGGTCTGCTGTCGATCACACTTGTAAAAGGTAGAAGTAGCTACTAAAACGTCTGTGGACAGACTTCAACGAACAATCACGCAACGACAAGTGCTGCGTCCAAACGGCCTATCCTCCTAAAATCACATACACCATTCTTGGGTGGAAATCTAAACTTATCGTTTCACTACTTTATAGACTCTCCTAAATTACTATCCTGAATACTGCAACTAATAAACAGAAACCTATGATTATTGATATTACATACATATATACGCATACATATATCAATTTCAAATTTATTCATCCGTCTGCCTCTACATTTTCTTTCTTTCTTTTTCTGTCTTTTAGTCTGAATAAGCGACACTAATTATGTCATAATTATTATATCTTTTCTGTTATCGACGACACCAGAGGACTAACTAGTGTAAGGATCAACTCCATTCACAGAAGTAACAAAGTCTTAAGACACCGCATACTACAAAAAACATATAATTAATCCCAGCACTACTCCTTTTGGAGTCGACCAAAGCTAAGAAAGTTAAGTGGAGAAACCAACTACGCAGAAGTTTACCAAAGAACTACAACCCTCGCCACGAAATCAAGAAGCGAGCACAAAGAAACCAAATTGGCTTATACTAGCTCGTAAAAGCCATATTGGACATTGGATTTTGATTTCTTTTTTTTTAATTTTTTTGATTACAGGATAATGAAATCAGCTGCTCCCTTTCAAGGTCGCGAATTTCTTTAAAAGGATGTAACTAGTATTCGCATCAGTTAACAATCGCCGTCAATAATGAAATTACGCCCAGGAGATAAGGGGGGCTACTACGATGCTAATGAAATGGGTGGCCCACCACTAACTCCGGGAGGTGGGAGCAGATATTTTGATGGACAAGGTTACACAGGTCGTCAAGACCCATATGCAAATGTAAGTGTATCTAAATAGATTCAATGCAGTTATGTCAGTCTAAGCTATGTTTCTTCTCCTATCACTTTAATATGTGGGGCGACAGAAGCGGATCCAACAACATTTCCAACAGCTTTTATTACACACAATTACTGCTTATACAAAAAATTAGACTGTCGCTATACTTTTTGAACGTTAGCTCTTTCATTTTCAGGTTATGCGAGTAATGAGGTGACACACTAGTATCTCTGCATACACGACCATTGCGATGATCTGAGACTTCTTCTTCTTCTGAGTCACAACCATTGATTGCTGTACCTCGTTACTACTACACTGTTGTTCTCATTTACTACCACACATCAACTTTATATTTCAAATCCTGTGTTGCATTGTTTGAAATGAAATACTCTACGTTGTTTTTTTTCTTAATTTCTAATATTTATTTATTTTATTTATTTATAACTTATTTATTTTATTTTTATTTATTTATCTTTGATTTTTAAAAATCCTATATAATTTATGAGGTAATTAGATGCAATATACTGTAATGCACGCTGAAAATTCCATATCTGTACCACAAATACTGTTTGGAATAAAGCTATTATTATTATTATTTTGAGTGAAGATTTCCAAAAACAAAACATATTTTGTTTCTAGTCAGCTTGAATCAAGAAGACGGTAAGATCATCAATCCAAAGCCCATGTGGCTTACTGGAATTCGCCGATTTCATGATATTTCACACTCTTACTCACTGTAAGTGTTCGTTTAAGATTGTAGACCAGTGTGATCGACTCCACTGCGCCATAGTTGACCGTTTTCTGTGGGCTATACTCACTTACAGGTGAAACTGAGAGTGTGATCACAAACTCAATAATGATAGAACGCCACATACTGATGTTCGTAATGTGGTTTCACACTTCTAGAAACCCAAACGATAATGACCCAATTCAGGTAGTCCAAGTAATTGTAAATGATGGCGACATATGCATCTTGAAATGTAGGTAATTTGCTACGAGGTGAAGATGCAGTTCGTTGTCTTTATCCATCGACTTACAGCCAACTGCTCCCGGGTTCGAATTTTTCTCCACCTACCTTCGTCGTATGATATCACAACTCCTAGCACAATAAGTGTCGATATTCAAGTGTTGGCTATAGGCTGACGACACATAAGCGAGTTCCAATTACTAGCCCATAACCAACCTGCTTGGAGACTGTGAATTGGTGACAAAAGCTGAACTCCCGATCACTCAAATGAATGCGGACTAAACGTTTCTTGTTGAGTGTTTTGTGATACCTCAATCTTAGGGAAAACGGTGCACTTGTGTCATAGTGTTTCCAACCTGTATGAATTTTAAATTAACGGCATTTGTCACTAGCTGTTTATCCGGCGGGTCTTGAAATCATTCATCATCAAAATGACTTAATTTTGTATTCTGGCTGGAAACTAAGATATACGTTTTTCTGGCACATACTTTCTTTCAGTCACATTCTTGAGCAACATCAGGAGGATATAGTGTGCACCTGAACTTATAATTTTGTCATCAAACATGACATGAGGTCCCTGGTTTTCACTGGATTCAATCGGCTTATCTGCTTTTGATTATATAAGCATAAGTATCCACAGTACCGAAATGAATGTAAACAGTTTTCTAAATATCTCTTTACAGCAGAACTTCCGCAGCGGAACACCAATGTACGGTCAGGATTATGGCAATCAGCCACAGCCGATGTACAACATGGATATGAATCGCAGAAATAATATGGATGTAAGTCCTGTAAGCTATAGCAGTTTCCCATTATTATCTGAAGTGATGAGTCAAAGTTTCCCAGTTCTTCTTAAATTCACTCAGCTTAGGCACACATTTCGCCTTGCATGTGCTGAAGATTGAAAAATGTATTAGTCTCTCCCTTCAGGGAGCAATCGGATCATCCTATCGAGAGAAGAAATGAAAGTACTGAACATCTCTCTCTCTATCCATTGTATTGACTGAATATAATGAGCCTTGACTATGAACCTACATTTGATAGGTATAGCAGTCAGTTTTCTCATATTTGTAAGTAACAAATACTGTGAACACTAAGGCTGTTTCTTTACCGAAATCGGCATCGTCATTCACAAGTGGATAAAGCGACATGTTTTTTTGCGACTGACCAAAATATGCTAGGCTTGGTTATGTGAGAAGGCAATGTAGGCATGACTAACGTGGTCGACGCTGACTGTACGTATATATGTGCATGCACATTGTGTATCTGGCTGAGTAGTTCCATTTGAGGCAAAACATCTGTTCATTGACCATCTGGTATGCACGACGTTTATCCTGCTTATGGACACAGTCCATGAATCGACGTGACCGAATAGGATAGTCCACTGCTTCAGTCATTTTTCACATACTATTCACTATGGCATTGAGTGCCAATACATGTCCTTTTTTCATTCTAGTTTGGGTTTGGCCAATCGCTGGGTTATTACGATTTTCTTGGGGAAGTGCTGGGTAAGATATGCTTTTGCTGCTAATTGCTTGTTACTCGTACGTCTATTATACACACGTTTTGCAGTACTATTGTTTGCTGCATAGTACGTTTAACGAATAGAGGAAGACATCATGTCAGGAAGCGTGAACACTCCTTGGAGAAACTGTGTTAAACAGAGACAGATTGGGGAATAAAGTCCTGAGTAACTTGTGGTCTTGTGAAAAGACGAGATTAGATGAAAGCAATTATACTGCTTCACATGATGAAAAGCAAGATGAAGCGCACAAATAAATTGAAAAGCTGTGACAAAAACTAACTTCAAACAGGCTGTTATAAGTTACTACCGCTTCTGTCTTCTGCAAAGACCATCGTACATAGGTGAGGATGGTGGGTTGACATCGACCATGTGAAACGACTGAAAGAAAATGGAATCATAAATATCCCTCGCAGTTTGTGTTTCGTTCAGTCTTCCTGATCACACAGAGTTGAAATTTTGCAACAGTAATGTTCTCAAACAACACGAAAGAATTAGTCAAACCGACTAAAACTGGTAGTTCGTCTTCTGGTCTTAGCGTCACCATCTAGCAAATAAAAGTAAAATTCACAATGTTTCTCCCTCAAAATCCACTACACTGCATACATTTTCACCTCTGGTGAAAATTATAAGTGCTTTACTACGATGATGTCTGGCTAATTTAGAAGCAGTATTCAGCGATGAATAATGACTGTTATCTTATGTAATTTAATGTGATACGTTGATATCTGTCTGTATAATTGGCGAATAGTGTCATTGAAATACATTATGGTTGAATCTTTAGTCAAAATAGCTGGGAACGGTATGGATCAAACAATCCTTCATACGGGAACCGATGGAATGACGCAGATGACCAATGCAAGTAAGCGACCAGTTTTGTATACCAGTTGTCGAAATTATTTCCGTCGTCAGGTTTTCGCCATAAATATCGCACATATCATGTTTATCTGCACAGTTTTAGCGCAGACATCATGAATTATGAGTATCATTTCGTTGTGCTTGTCGCGAATGATGACGCAACAAATACTTGAAATAAACTAACAAAAATGGGCTCGTAGAACCAACAATTATTGCACTCACGCTTCTATCAATCAAAATTTCAATTACTACCCTGGTTCGTACGCACAAACATACACCAACTTTCAATGACCTTTTCAGAATAGTATGAGTTATTTCGTTAACTTTATTCATGACAAGTTCGTCGCTGAAGTCATTGAGGAGAGATATGACTCAGCATATTAGTCTCCACAGCTTACCCATAACAGTGAAACAATGACGAGATTTTTATCTTCAGAAGACATTCAAATGAACTGTGGTCAAGATTTGACAGAATAGTTCTAAAATATTTGGACGCCGAGTCAGAAGTAGACATTTGTAAAAAATTATATTTGTAAAATCTCATCGAGATTGAAATGAGTAATTCCGTTTCGTTCGGCAAACTGGTCCGAACTTCTTCAGGGAAATTAAATGAAATTAACATAATGGAGGTCTATATATAAAAGGAACGTTTCCTGTTTTTAGAAACTTTGTCCAATCATGATTCATAAAACAAGTAACAACAAGTATAATAAAAAAATTGTATGGGCTGTGATCAAAATTTGACCTCGAAATTACAAATACTGGTCTACCTTAGTTAAAAACTTTTACAAATATCTTCAGAAGACGTTAGTGTAAACAGATGATCAGAACTGTTTCAAACCCGTATCGAATCAGTGGTACTGGTGTATTCCAGGAAGATGTTTGTGCATACAAAATGAGTCGTTAGATGTTTAGACTCAAATAGGAAGAAACTCTGGACTCGATTCTAATTCACTGAGTACTTGGCACCAGGGTTTAGTCTGCACCCACAAGTCTGATGATGCAAATGCCAACTACTTGTGTGTAATAAACAAATATTGTGAGCAATTAATAGTCGTCAAACTGAGCATTATGAGTTTGCAAAAGGTTGACAACGAAACAGATCATCTTTCCGTTGTAGCAAGGTAAGATAAGAATCAGGGTTTAGCACAGCTATGTTGCAAACAAAATTACCACTATGCAGGTCATCTTTATAACGCGTTTCTGTCACTACAAAATTAGCCGTAAATGCAACGCATTTGTTAGTGGATAATAAACATGCATATATTGTTTCAAATACAGCAGTGAACTAAGTACTCATTGAAAATAAACTGAAAGTCCTCCTATCACCAGTTTCAATATATTTGCATCCTAATGGTTGCAACAGTTTACCATTTACAGTTTACTACTTCCACTGAATAAACTAACTTAAATACATTTCTTTTGTTTAGCAATAGCAGGTTTAACAGAGACTGGCGCTAGAAGTTGCATATCAGTCTTCGCCATTACACCAGTCATTTCGTCTTGACTGTCATTTTCGGTGAGTCATATTCCCACGTTCAACGCTTGTTGTTCGATATTTACATAAATATATATATATTATTATTATTGTATCCTTTAGTTCCTAGAGGAACATAGGGCTTCAGCTGCGCACCTCCATTGACTTCGGTTTTCTGACAACTTTTTCACCCTGCTCCAGGTCTGTCCACATGCTTTCATCTCCTCCTCGCATGACCTCCTCCAAGTCACCCTTGGACGACCAACTCGCCGCCTCCCTTTCGGGTTCCACTCGAGTGGCTTGTCTAGTGATGTCACTTGATGGTTTCCTCAGCGTATGGCCAATCCATCTCCATTTCTTTCTGCCTATTTGTTTCACAATCGGTTCCTGATTGGTTCGCTCCCAGAGATCCCTGTTGCTGATCTTTTCTGGCCATCTGATCTTGAGTATTGAGCGGAGACAGTTGTTAATGAAGGTTTGAAGTTTGTTTGAGATGCTCTTTATGACTCGCCAAGTCTCTGATCCGTATAGTAGCACTGACTTCACATTGGAGTTGAAAATCCGGATCTTATTTTTGATGCTGATTGCTGTTGACCTCCACACAGATTTGAGAGTAATGAAAGCTTGTCTTGCTTTTCCGATTCTGGCTTTGATGTCCTCGTCAGTTCCGCCTGTAGTTGAGACGATGCTTCCCAGGTAGGTGAAGGAGGTTGTTTCTTTCAGGTTCTTCCCATTTATGCTTATTGTGGTCTGTTGTTGTTGTTGCTGTTGATGTTGGCTAGGAATCTTCATTATCTCTGTTTTATCTATGTTCACGTGAAGTCCTATCTTTGATGCTTCTTCTGCCAACTTGTTACTTTTCACTTGCATATCTTCCAGTTTATGGGAAATCAGACATATATCATCGGCGAAATCCAGATCCTCCAAGTCTTTTGTGTCAGTCCATTTTATGCCTGTTCCCTCGTTGGTTGCCGTTGTCTGTCGCATTATCCAATCAATTGCAATCAGGAAGATCATTGGTGATAGTAGACAGCCTTGCCTCACTCCCGTCCTCACTTCGAAGGCTTCCGTAAGTTTCCCGTTGTGGATTACTTGGCATGCAGCATTGTCGTATAACTGTTGGATGAGGTGTATAATTGTCGATGGGACCCCGTAGTAGCGAAGTAGTTTCCAAATGACCTCTCGATCGACGCTGTCGAAGGCCTTTTCAAAGTCGATGAAGTTGAGATAGAGAGGTGACTGCCATTCCAAGCTTTGTTCAATGATGATCCGTAGAGTGGCGATTTGATCAATACATGATTTGTTTCTCCTGAATCCAGCCTGTTCCGGACGAAGTTTTTCATCTAGGGCTTGTTTGATTCTCTCCAGGATGATGCGACTTAGTATCTTGCTTGGAATGGACAGAAGCATAATTCCACGCCAGTTTTTACATTGACTTAAGTCTCCTTTCTTTGGAAGTTTGAATAAGTAACTGTTCTTCCAATCCTCGGGTACTTTGCCCTCTTTCCACACCTTCTCCAGCAGTGGTGTCATCAAGTCCGCTGTTGTCTCTGGGTCTATTTTCAAAGCCTCTGCTGGGATTCCATCTGGTCCCGGTGTTTTCCCAGCTTTAAGCATCTTGATTGCATTCAGGACTTCTGATTTCGTCGGGGGGTCAGTGTTCACTGGTAGTTCTGCTTCCGTTGTTGGTATTGCTGGACGTGTTGTAGGTGGCGGACGATTTAGAAGTCTTTTGAAGTGTTCAACCCAGTGCTTTCTCTGTTCCACCTCTTTGGTGATTGACTTTCCATTGTCGTCCTTTATTGGCTTAATCTGTGTCGAACGTTTGCCCGAAAGGTTCCTAGTTGTTTGGTAGAGTGTGGCGAGGTCTCCTTTGCCTGCAGCTTGTTCTGCTTCGTTTGCCATGGTTTCATAATATTTTCTTTTGTCTTCCCTGGCACTTTTCTTCACTCTTTTGTTCAGTGTATTGTAGCTTGCATTCAGCTCCTGTTTTTGTTGCTCGTCAGTGCACTGGATAATCTTTTGCTTCACTGTCCTTCTCTCTTCTATTAGTTTCCAAGTGTCCGTAGTGAGCCACTGTTTGTCCTGTCTCTTTTTTCTGCCTAGAATTTCTATGCAGGTTTGGCTCCACACCGTTTTCAAGTTGTTCCAGTGCTTTTCGACGCCGACCTTTTCGCTGGTGTTGATTTGTGTCTCAGCTTTGTCCTTTATGCTTGCAATGAAGATGTCCTTTGTAGCCTGGTCCTTCAGCTTTTGAGTGTTGAACTTGGCTTGTGGTCTATCTGCAGCTCCTGATTCCCTGAAAGCTTTTAATTTGATTTGGATGCATATATATATATATATATATATATATATATGCATGAAGTAGACAATTTATACCGGGATAAGTTTCAAACCATAAGCACAAAGATTCAACCCCGTTTGCAACCTTAGATTTGTTGATTTCAATTATTGTTCCATTATCGAAGAACAGCATGATGACTAACATTCCCTTCATGTGAAGTTTATTAACTGCGTTGTTTGTTACAAGAGTTGAAGCGGAGTACAGTGTTGTTGTAAAGCATTGCGTCTATGGCTTTGAAATCCCTCGCATGTCATCACTCCTAGTCTCCTAATGTGAAGATGTAACTTTATTCATGATAAAATATCGTCTGTGAAAGATGAATTGACTGGTCTGGTCAGAATATCTGAGTGCAGTACGCTTCATGTGCTACTTCATATCATCCTACTATGTTTCAGTTGGATCTAAACGACTATTCACCTTCCTACCTATTTAGTTATTGAAAGTAAGTTATTCAGTAAATTCCGCCTGTCTTAGATCATGATGTTCTGATTGTGAATGAGTGCAGTCAGTGTATAGAGCTGAGTGGTGTAGTGGTGAGATTGTAGAGGGATTGAATACAAACTAATTTGGCCTTACTCAACCTGTAGGCGAGATCAAATTATTCAATTTCTAGCCTCTTCAAGTAGTGCACCCCATGCCGATAGTTTAAAATTGTCTAGCTTGTATCTCTGTACAAGGCCTTCTGCCTCCATCTGCATAAATTGTAGAAACACCATTGATTCTGAAATTCAGAATAGGTGTGTTCTATCAATGTGGTGCTAGACCAGAGGATTTAGTCAGAATTTCTTCAAATATTTATACCGGATTACACGGCAACAGAGTTGAAGGACTACTTTCAGTTGGTGATAATCACTGTTAATGGGCGTCTGTGTGTCCTATCACGTAGTGTCACTCAATGAATCATAAAGTGTCACTGTGAAAAGAAAGCGAATATTAGCAACTTCAATGTATTTCTGCGTGTGTTCACATTCTATGAAAAGACGGATGGCAAATACTTTTTCATTGTATACTGCTAAGAGTACATTTTCTTTACTTTCGCTTAAGGGTTTTCTAATAGCGAAGCAAACATTGTTTTCTCCATAAAAATTTCAGATATCTGGTGTCTCGTGTAAATGGCTTGAAACGAAAGTGGAAACAATGCTGTGTACAGATCACAGTGCACAGCTTATATCTTCTGTACATTTAAAAGCACTAATGTCATTATTTTTGTAAAATATATATTTTTCGTGCATAAAATCCCTTTGATACTTTAAATTATCCGAACTTATGTATCACGTGAACGACAAAATGAAAGTAAAGCGTGTGGTCATCTGTTACCAAGTTAATCATACTTCCCGTTGAAGTTAAAGAACTTGGTTCTGATGTTTACAATAAAGAAGCATTTAACTGTGAAATGAATTTGCCTTTAATATAGACTGGATGAAAATCGGATCTTCGCAGTTAGCCAGCTGGTGTTAACACACACCTTTCTGTAATCCAACGTTGGATTCGTCTTGAAACGCTTATTCTCTACTCACAGTTCAATAAGTTGACCGAAAGTTGCTCCACAGGATTGTTATTAGAATCCCATGAGTTCCGAAAATCACTTCGTATAGCTTCTATCAAGGTATTAGTGTAATTTCTAGTTTCGATAGTCTAATCTCTGCAAGTGTGCGTTGTTTGCACCCCACGATCAATTATAATCACGCAAAGATTTCATTAAAATTTCATAAACCTAAGAAATTTCAAAAGAAACATGCAGTGATTCACTCGACAGAATTCGGGAAATAATGTACAAGGTGAACTGACATTCACAAGAAGTTGTTAGTAAGAGCGATTTATAGACCAGTTGAGTGGTCATGAAATTGAAAACATTGCAATGATGATTACTGAATAATGGGAAACACAGACACATGGGAGAATTTAGTGGGAAAGGGAACAGCGTATTTGAAGTAATATGAAGCTTCGTTGTGTGACTTCTTATTATGAGAGATGACGACGAAGAGCAAGGTAATCTGAAATTTGTTCTTCCACACAGTTTAAGGTTTATCAGTTCGATCGCGCTAATCTTAACCAGTATCCACCAAATGGGATGGAATAGCGCCCATAGTTTTATTTGATTACTATTATATGCGAGAGTGAGCATTACCAAAATATTAATTCGTTCAATCATGGTTTTCCTATGAAATTACGCGGATATACACCCTATCTGAAGGTATTGTTAGTTCTGGTAACCCTCGATTGAACATTGTGTCCAGCGTCCCATGCTGGTTATTCAAATATGCGTGTGCCTTACCAGGTGTCTTAGCTTACGCAGCAAAACAAAGCTATTTTGACTGCTTTACGATAGTTTGTGGTGAAAACCTTAGAGGAATAATACTAAATGTCAACTAGTTAGGCGGAGTCGGCTCTGAAGACGTTGTCCAATTGGACAGAATAACACTAAATAGTTAGAAGGACTTCTTGCAGAGCAACTTTACATTAATGTTTCTTGCACATGTAGGCATTTCGGTCTTGAAAATCACTCGGCAAAGCTATTTAGTAACTCGTCTAAGTTGAGATAACTATCACAAAGAACAAACGAAACATGCTATATCTACAAAAAGTGCCCACTCATCTGTTATACACAGTCAGAAGAAATAACTTTCCAATTGTGGGGAAAATATGACTACAGTTGGTTGTTGTTGTTGTTGGGCTCCCTTCCGTTCTTTCCACCTATCTAAATCAACCATTCCTGACAGGGAGGTGGACCTGGGGATGCAGGGTAATAAGAGTTCTCTCTAGCCGTCAACGATACAACAATGTTCTCTGTGCTTCACTTTACAACGCGAATCAATTGAATATTTCTAATAAGGGCCCTTTTGTGATGAGTATCTTGACGCCGAAATGCAGTGCAATCAGTACATCATAGGTCTTGAATAAATCTATCAATTCGAAACATCTTTCAAAATATGCCTGCAAGATATCTTTCCATTAGTTCCAGTAACTCCGCAAATTAATTTGCCAAAACGACGTATGTTGAGTTGTACATGTATGGCATTACTGACTCACATTATACATTATTCACAAACACTTCTATACGGTAAACTGTTACAGGTTTCTCTAGTAATTTAACTTCATAACTGCTGAGTGTGTGGCTAGTGGTCAATCTCAAGATTCATGCAGTCGCCTAGTATATTCACGTTTCTTTTATAAAACAATGTATATCATTGGTAGACACACACGATTTATCACCGTGATTATCCGTTCTTTCAAATTCTTTGACTGGGCTCCAACAAGCCCTGGATTGTGTTGATTAAAGTGAATCCTCTTTGTCACCACAAAGATGAATCATCCAAATCAAATATCTCACTGGAAATTGAGCATAACGCTATTCAATGTGACCAGCAGAACAAGAGCTATCAGGAGTCCATACGAAATATCAAGAGATGAGTAAATGGTGTAGGCAACACTGAGATTGACTTCAAATAAAGCCGGTCATATTGGACCTGAAATTATTGCTCTGTAGAAGAATAAAGTCAAGCGTCAGTATTTGGCTTTCGGGGCCTTCGCTGACAGTTTACAACAGTTGTTTTCCGATTATGTGTGCATTGTATCAATCAGACAAGATGAAGAAATAAAAGTCCATCCAACAAACGTCTAATTACAAGAGTTACAGGTACATGATCAAAAGCGAATTCACATTCACTAATACCCTACGTTTTAAACAATACTTAGTCATAAAATGAGATGACTTCAATAACCATTCTAAACCAGGAGGCATAGGACACTGGCCCCTCCATGTATGCGAATCCTCACCGGTGCCTACCTGAGACCCGGTCAGGTATCAAAACCAAGACGGACAGATTAAAGCTTTCAGTTTGAATAATTAGGTGTGAGACAATCCATTTATTCAAATAAAACGAAACAAATAATATTAGTAATTTCAAAGTCCCAACAACTAGTGCATAACAAGCATAATTGGAACGAACAATTGTTTTCGATAATTGTTTTCCTCTTCAGGCTCTACAGTTGAAAATCCGTTAATTTTAGCATATAATAAACAGTAAAAGCGAATAGGGATCAGATTAAAAAGTGTATTGTGGTATAAATACAAGGAGGAATAGTATTCAGTGAGTTTCGATTGTCGTTTAAGTGAGTATAAGAGGTACTACTGGTGAAGTGGACGATGTATTTCCAGTTTGTATTAAAAATCGGAAACATTTCTTTCCTGTGATAAATTTAAAACAAACAACAACTGTGGAAAAAGCAGTATTGAATGAATTCATAACTAACTGCTCAATCAATCACACAGCACTTGTTGGACTGCGATCACACGGTGATGTTGAGCTAAAGCATGATAGTAACTATTAGGCAAGGTAATGAAAAAGCTCTTGGTTTTCCTAAAGTCTGTGCAGTCGGATTAAGGAATCCGGATCTATGCATTCAAAAGGAGACAGTAGTTAGCTTAAATCTACCATGGCAGCATACTTTTAACTCACCTTTATAATTTCCCTTCTCTTCCCTCTTCTCCTTACAATTTCTCTCCTACTGTTATTATTGTTATTACTACGATTATTTTACCTGACATACTGTTAGTTTCCTTGGGATATGTGCAAATCGAAAATCATGACTGAGTTTTAATCTTCGTGAGGAGTGTTCAAACAATCTAATGAGTTTAAATCAGACACGTTAAAATCGTGTTATTTACTCTTATATGGTTTACAAATGATAAATTTATTTATTTGTGTTTTTACTAAGTTTACTCGCATTTCAATATTATCAAATCTAGATTCTACCACAGCGAATTCAGTTTACATGCTCCTTTCTGCTTTAATGAATATTGTTCACTTATTAATGATGCTAACAGATGATCACTCACCACACGTGGATCACATATATTTCCTGAAATCGATGCTTATTTGTTGTCCCAAAGTTCATGTGTTTCTGTGTATTTAACTTTGAAAAAATGTGTAAATTTTCAAAAGAATGGTTAATAAACAAGGAATACGCTTTTCCGTAACTTCATCCTCATACTCTACAGTTATATAAACACTGTAGTGAATGAATTAGTGTTATGAATAACATTAATGCTTACATAACATCGAACCAATTAATATTGATAGATTACAGTTCAGTAGCACCAACATAACAATAAACTGAATGTCAGTAAAATTAGCAAAGAAAATAATACATATCCATGAGTTTATAGTCTCTACTGAAGACCAAGGCAGTAGTAGTGGCTGGACTTGCTTCTTTTGCATACAAAGCACTAGTTGTTCCACGTGAATTGCGATAGACTCTGGTGTTTGCAACATCCTGTACTCCGATGTTTTTGGCAACTTATTTGATACGCAGTAAATGATACGGAAGGATTCCTAGGACAGGAACACAATAATAACTGAATTCAATGAAGTACATTCTGCTATGAAATTCACGTTGAAAGTGGAATCCAAAAAGAGAATTGTCTCTCTGGATGTCCTCCTTACAAGAAAACCAGATTTTTTTATATTTTTTTATATTTTTGATTACAGCTTGATTCCACACTGTATTTTTGGTACAAGTATGGAATTTTCAGCATGGATATCGGTAGCCCAAATTTTGCAGGCCAACCATAGATATCAGGTAGCATAAAAAGAAATTTGTATAGAAAAAGTACATGGACAGGACAATATACACATTTTCACAGCTTCGTCCCTGTCCAGTACAAAAGAAATTTAGTAAAGATCCTCAGCCACACGGTCAGAGATATATGCTCAAGAGAAATAATTGAAGATGAATTAAGCATTGTATATGATATCTTGATTGAAAATAGCTATCCTGACAAATTTATCAAGAATCACATGACAAAGAGAGAGGTAAAGGACTACTCACTATCCGTAAACAAGAAGCCTTCATACATACGACTGCAATTCAAGGGCGATAAACCAAGCGAAATAATTGCGAAGAAATTGAGAAAATCAGTTCAGAGAACTTTTAATGCTGGCGAACTACGCGTCTTATTCTCTACACGACAGATGGTGATTCCTCGATTGAAAGATGAAGTACCTAAACTAGCCACTTCCATTTGTATCTGTCAATTCAACTGTGCTTGTGGTGCGAATTACATTGGCCGTCGCTCTAGGAACTTGATTTTTCGTGCTCGAGAGCATCCCTCAGTATGGCTAAGCAAAGGTGTAGTAAAAAACACAAATATTTCAATAGTAGACCACCTGGTCCGAACTGGCCACAAAGCGAGCATTGAAGAACACTTC